TAAACCTTTTACTCAAAAGAGTAATAAAAAGAATAGAGACTATATTACCCAGGAAGAGGCAGACAAGTGGATTAACCCAAATGCTTGAAAGCCTGGTAAGCATTTTAGAACATGGAGGGCACAATTGCAAAAAAAATGGAAAGAACTTGGTTTAGGTGAATGTCTTAAAACAGAAAACTTGGATGACTGTTTGACCCTCTGTCATGATCTTGAACAATATGATTTAGAAGCAGTTAGACTACCAACAAAAGAGAAATTAGAAGACAGACCAGAGGCTGGTCCAGGACCTAGAATGCAAGCATTTAGAAATGATAACAAATATAAGAATTTAATTAATGAAGAATTTAGGCACTTAGGAGAGATGAATAAAGGGCAAGAAAGACTGGAGAATGATTTAGAATTTAGAGAGCAAGAAATAGGTACAGCAGTTAAAAGAAGAGCTGTAGCTGTATATTATGCAAAAGTTCCTAAATCTTATCCAGATAATGGAAGCGATATATGAAAAATATTAGAAAGCCGAAAAAAGCAGTTTAGAGAAATACTTGAAAAGGAATTTGATAAGCGTGGACAATTTAAGTTTGCTCTTTGTTCTCTTACCAAATTTCTTATTGATGATAAACCCGGGAATAATAATGTAGAAAAAAAGAATTCATGAACTGACTGGCTTAGAAATAAGCAAATTATAGTCTATAATAGAGCTGAAATAGATGACTACTTAAGCAATGCCTTTGAAGAAATTCTATACCAAGTAGAGGAGAGAGGAGGTAAGACTAATGCTTGAGAATATATTGAGGGGTAATTGTGCATCCTTCACGATTTGTAGCTCTTCTCTCACAAATGAGCGTCTAGGACCATTATAAAGTTTATAGAGAACAGGTTGATTTTCTTTTATCAAATAAAAATTAATTGTAAAGACTTCAGGAGACCAATTGCAATCAGTTGCTCTTCTTCTTCCACCTTCTAATTCACCAGGTTCTAAAAGGTGCCAAACTTCTGTATAACTAGGTAAAAGAGGTTCATTATAACCAACTAGTCTCCTGTGCTTTACCGAAGGTCTAGCTATTATTTTTTTTCCTTTTAATGCTTGTTTTATAGCTTCATTAGGAGACATACCTATCAATCGGGTAGAAGTATTATTATAAATATTGTCATTTATACGAAGACCCTTAACTCATGCTCTAGATCTATCAGTTAAAGGTAAATAAAAATCTTCTGCATCTTGCCGAAAATAAGCATGCTTTTCAAATTCTTGATGGTCACATTCAGCAATAGTTACACCACGTTTAGAGTTAGTATACTGAATTTTTACACTATGACTAAGTAATAAATCTCTACACTCACCCAAAAATTCTGTACCTCTATCAACGATTAAAGCAAAACTATGACGAAACCTAGTAGCCACATCTTTTATTACAAGTCTATACTTATAAATTCGATTGCCTATTTTACAATGAGAGAGTGGCGTAGTATTGGATTGATGCACATCATTTAGATCTTGTATATCATTAAAAAAAGCATACTGAATAAACTTTGGTCGAGGCTTGTGGATTTGATATAAAGCCTGGTGGTTTAACCATTTTTTTATTACAGCTGAAGTAAACTCATATCTGGCTTTTTTGCAAGCATCCAGCATTTTTTCAGCAGTTTGATAATGACCCTCTGGTCGGTAATAAAGCTTCTGCAAAGTAAGATCCCGATCAAGATCACGTGCTTTCTGAGGATCGATATAAATAACTGGTTCTTCCATACTGATTCTCTTTTATGGATTTAGCAATTTCTCAATCAATATAATAAATAAAAAAGCATAGAGGAATTGCAACAAAGTAATCAAGAACTCCATGAGGTAGTATCCCAATTAGCAGAATCAAATAGGAATTTCGAACAACGATTATATACCTTAGAAAGAATTATTGGTATACGGGAAGAAAGAATTCGATTTCTTGAAGAAGAGTTAAATAACGCTATCGAACTTTCTAAACAAGACAAAGAAGAATTAACAGAAGAAATTTCA